GGCTCAAAAAAGGAGAGAGGCTCGATACGGCTCAAAAAAGGAGAGAGGCTCGATACGGCTCAAAAACGGAGAGAGGCTCGATTCGGCTCAAAAATGGAGAGAGGCTCGATATGGCTCAAAAACGTACCCTCGAGAACATCATTTTCAGTTCGGGCTGTGGATTATTCCAAGACGCAATCGCATCGCACAGAAAGATAAACTCCTGAAACAAACAGTTATTATAATACCTGAAAACCTGCGTTATCCTATGTAAGCTACATTAATTCACTATAAGCATTATTACACTTTCAGATGCCGACTGAGAAAACTCGTCTTGACCCGAAATGATGTAATATTTCTCAAACAGCATGTGCAATATTTCTCAATATTTCTCAAACACTTTTTTCTTGTGTTTCACAATAAAATTTTTTTTTCTTTTGCTGGTATTTTGAGCCACTTGCAAAATTTTTTCGCATGCGGCTCAAAATATCAGCAAAAAGGTTCGAAAAAAATTCCACCTGAAGGTTCCAATCCAATTTTCTATTTCCAAGCCGGCTTTTGACGTCCCTTTGGTGGAATTTTTTCGAACATTTCTGATGAAATTTTGAGCCGCTCGCGAAAAAAATTTTGCAATCAGCCTCAATTTTTCATATTTTCCTTCTCACACATAAATAACATCTGCGTTGCTCAAGATAAACGAGCGGTCTTTTCCCCATCCAAAGCACAGCAGTAATTACAAGGACTTTTCAAAGACTATTTGCAGATATGCTTTTCAAAGAAAATGAAATATACCGCAAGCACTCCGGCCGGATTGAGACTGATCATATTACAAAGACCTCTGAATGCGCTCTCCTTCTCTTCATTGTCACGAATATTGCGCAATGCCAGACACCATGGACGGATAAATTGTGGTAAAAATGGTGCTACTTCAATGGCGCAGCTGATACCCAAACGACCGAGAGTTATTGCTGAAAAAAAGAAACCGGCCTCCCAGAGTATGAGAGAGATAGAGAACTTCGTTTGGTCACAGACAAAAGCTGATCGATGCAAGAGACAAAGAAAGTATGGTTGATCCAGGATATCGCTTACCAGTATTTTCGAGAAGTGTTTTCGGTCCTTTTTCTCGATTCATTACGAAAATCAGCGGGGGCACCAAGCCGAGTACATGTGGGCGCAGCCCTTCGCCCATTTTCATTGCAATTTCGCCGATAGCCCATATTGAATTATTGCAAACTGATATC